TACAGACTGATACACTCTTGAAGTCATTCTGTTTCGCTCCATTCTCTCCACATGTCCGAACCACCTCAACAACCCTTCCTCAGCCCTCTGGACAACAGTTTTGGCAATCCCGCACCTCCTCCTAACTTCCAACTACGAATTCTCTGCATTATATTCACACCACACATTGTCCTCAGACATGACATCTCCACTGCCTCCAGCCTTCTCCTCGCTGCAACATTCATCACCCATGCTTCACACCCATATAAGAGCGTTGGTAAAACTATACTCTCATACATTCCCCTCTTTGCCTCCACAGACTCCTAAGTGCACCACTCACCCTTTTCCCCTCATCAATTCTATGATTCACCTTATCTTTCACAGACCCATCCGCTGACACGTCCACTCCCAAATATATCTGAATACATTCGCCTCCTCCATACTCTCTCCCTCCAGTCCGATATCCAATCTTTCATCACCTAATCTTTTTGTTATCCTCTTAACCTTACTCTTTCCAGTATTCACTTTTATTTTTCTTCTTTTACATACCCTACAAATTCATCCACCAACCTCTGCAACTTCTCTTCAGAATCTCCCAAGAGCACAGTGCCATCAGCAAAGAGCAACTGTGACAACTCCCACTTTATGTGTGAGTCTATCTTTTAACTCCACGCCTCTTGCCAAGACCCTCGCATTTACTTCTCTTACAACCCCATCTATAAATATATTAAACAACCACGGTGATATCACACATCCTTGTCTAAGGCCTACTTATACTGGGAAATAATCTCCCTCTTTCCTACATACTCTAACTTGAGCCTCACTATCCTCGCAAAAACTCTTCACTGCTTTCAGTAACCTGCCTCCTATACCATACACCGGCAACATCTGCCACATTGCCCCCCTATCCACCCTGTCATACGCCTTTTCCAAATCCATAAATGCCACAAACACCTCTTTAACCTTATGTAAATACTGTTCACTCATATGTTTCACTGTAAACACCTGGTCCACACACCCCCTACCTTTCCTAAAACCTTGTTCATCTGCTATCCTATTCTCAGTCTTACTCTTAATTCTTTCAATAACAACTCTACCATACACTTTACCAGGTATACTCAACAGACTTATCCCCCTATAATTTTTGCACTCTCTTTTGTCCCCTTTGCCTTTATACAAAGGAACTATGCATGCTCTCTGCCAATCCCTAGGTACCTTACCCTCTTCCATACATTTATTAAATAATAGCACCAACCACTCCAAAACTATATCCCCACCTGCTTTTAACATTTCTATCTTTATCCCATCAATCCCGGCTGCCTTACCCCCTTTCGTTTTACCTACTGCCTCACGAACTTCCCCAACACTCACAATTGGCTCTTCCTCACTCCTACAAGATGTTATTTCTCCTTGCTCTATACACGAAATCACAGCTTCCCTATCTTCATCAACATTTAACAATTCCTCAAAATATTCCCTCCATCTTCCCAATACCTCTAACTCTCCATTTAATAACTCTCCTCTCCTATTTTTAACTGACAAATCCATTTGTTCTCTAGGCTTCTTTAACTTGTTAATCTCACTCCAAAACTTTTTCTTATTTTCAACAAAATTTGTTGATAACATCTCACCCACTCTCTCATTTGCTCTTTTTACATTGCTTCACCACTCTCATAACCTCTCTTTTTCTCCATACACTCTTCCCTCCTTGCCTCACTTATACTTTGTAAAAACTTCTCATATGCTAACTTTTTCCCCCTTACTACTCTCTTTACATCATCATTCCACCAATCGCTCCTCTTCCCTCCTGCACCCACTTTCCTGTAACCACAAACTTCTGCTGTACACTCTAACACTACATTTTTAAACCTACCCCGTACCTCTTCGACCCTATTGCCTATGCTCTCATTAGCCCATCTATCCTCCAATAGCTGTTTATATCTTACCCTAACTGCCTCCACTTTTAGTTTATAAACCTTCACCTCTCTCTTCCCTGAAGCTTCTATTCTCCTTGTATCCCATCTACCTTTTACTCTCAGTGTAGCTACAACTAGAAAGTGATCTGATATATCTGTGGCCCCTCTATAAACATGTACATCCTGAAGTCTACTCAACAGTCTTTTATCTACCAATACATAATCCAACAAACTACTGTCATTTTGCCCTACATCATATCTTGTATACTTATTTATCCTCTTTTTCTTAAAATATTTATTACCTATAACTAAACCCCTTTCTATACAAAGTTCAATCAAAGGGCTCCCAGTATCATTTACACCTGGCACCCCAAACTTACCTACCACACCCTCTCTAAAAGTTTCTCCTACTTTAGCATTCAGGTCCCCTACCACAATTACTCTCTCACTTGGTTCAAAGGCTCCTATACATTCACTTAACATCTCCCAAAATCAATCTCTCTCTCCTCTACATTCCTCTCTTCTCCAGGTGCATACACACTTATTATGACCCACTTTTCGCATCCAACCTTTACTTTAATCCACATAATCCTTGAATTTACACATTAATATTCTCTTTTCTCCTTCTATAACTGATCCTTCAACATTATTGCTACCCCTTCCTTAGCTCCAACTCTCTCAGATACTACAGATTTAATCCCATTTATTTCCCCCCACCGAAACTCCCCTAACCACTTCAGCTTTGTTTCACTTAGGGCCAGGACATCCAACTTGTTTTCATTCATAACATCAGCAATCATCTGTTTCTTGTCATCCGCACTACATCCACGCACATTCAAGCAACCCAGTTTTATAAAGTTTTTCTTCTTCTGTTTTTCAGTAAATGTTTACAGGAGAAGGGGTTACTAGCCCATTGCTCCCGGCATTTTAGTCGCCTCATACGACACGCATGGCTTACGGAGGAAAGATTCTTTTCCACTTCTTCATGGGCAATAGAAGAAATAATGAAGAACAAGAGCTATTTAGAAAAAGGAGAAAAACCTAGCTGTATGTATATATATATGTGCATGTGCGTGTCTGTGAAGTGTGACCAAATGTAAGTAGGAGTAGCAAGATATCCCTGTTATCTAGCATGTTTATGAGACAGGAAAAGACACCAGCAATCCTACCATCATGTAAAACAGTTACAGGTTTCTGTTTCACGGTCATCTGGCAGGACAGTAGTACATCCCTGGGTGGTTGCTGTCTACCAACCTACTACCTGTCTTCATGCGAGTTATTACTGAGCATACCAGGTAAAGTGCGTTGTAGTTATTATTGAAAGAATTAACCCTTTCAGGGTCCAAGGCCCAAATCTGGAGTCACGCACCAGTGTCCAAGAATTTTCAAAAAAAAAATTTGTTATTTTTTCTTATGAAATCGTAGAGAATCTTTTTGTGAAGGTAATAAAACAAAAAGTACGAAATTTGGTGGAAAATTGACGAAATTATGCTCTCGCGAATTTTGATGTGTCAGCGATATTTACGAATCGGCGATTCTGCCGACTTTGACTCCCATTTTAGGCCAATTACATTATTCCAATCAACCAAATTATTAGCTATTTCACTAGTATTACTTCTATTCTATCGATTGAGCACAAGAAATCGCCAAGTCAACTGTTTCAACTACAAAATAAAGTGATCGGAAATTGTTAATTTGGCCAATTTAACACAAAGTTCAAAATATTCCAATTTCAAAATAGGGTCGAGAATAAACAATGTAGGCATTCCTGGCACTAAACTAACATTTCCTCTGTTCATTAGTCATGTTTTGAGGCTTTACAAATAAATTCCATTTTGATTTTTTATTCACATAATGAATTTTTATTCACACCAAAAAATAGAAGATTTACTGCTATGCAATACTGTAATAATTGTATAAATATCATCACCATATTTGTGAATGTATATTAGACCCACCAGCTGACGTGTATTAGACGTGTGAGGTCGTTTGTTTACTCTTGAATATCGGCAAAAATTTAACATTTCCGCTACTTTGAGCTCAGTTTCAAGCCATTTCCAGTGCTAAAACCAATCAAAATCATCTCTATTTCTGTAATATGTCTTCCATTCTATCAAATGAGACCAAGAAATCGCAAATACAACTATAAAAAACATACGAAAAAACACTGCAAAGTTGCTGTTTTAATCAAAAAATCATGATTTCAGTTTTTTTCTCTCATTATACACAGTGTGCTGCAGGATCTGTTTTATGTGGTGCACACATACCACATAGATGTATTCTCTCATATCTAGGCCCAAATGTACCACTCACAGTTTATCAGAGTGAGCTGAGCTCATGGCGTAGATCTACGGTTTGGACACTCACCATAAAGCCGTAGATCTACGGGACGGACCCTGAAAGGGTTAAGGGTAAGACTGAGAACATGATTGCTGATGAACAAGGTGGATTTAGGAAGAGCAGATGTGTGGACCAAGTTTACACTAAAGCATACAAGTGAACAATATTTAAATAAAGGCAAGTTTTCATTGCATTCATGGATTTAGAAAAGACATAGGATGGGGTGGATAGGGAAGCACTGTGGTAGATGTTTCAAGTGTATGGAATAGGTGGTAGGTTATTAAAAGCAGTTAAGAGATTTTATAAGGGTAGTGAGACTCAGGATAGAGTATGCAGGAGGGGAATTATTTTCCAGTAAAAGGAGGACTTAGACAGGGAGGCATAATGTCACAATGGTTGTTTAACATATTTATAGATGGGTATGTAAAACAAGTAAATGGTAGGATGCTGGGGAAAGAGGTATGGGATTAAAATATACAGAATCTAATACAAAGAGGAAATTGTTACAGTTGCTTTTTGCTAATGACTGTGCTTTTGGGAGATTCTAAAGAGAAGTTGCAAAAGTTGGTGAATGAATCTGAGAGGGTATATAAAAGAAGGAAATTAAAAGTGAACATAGGAAAGAGAAAGGTCATGAGGGTAACAAATGTCTCATGACAATATTGACTACCTCTGACTAAATTTCTAAGTGTCAAGCTCCTGAACCATCACCTGTGCACCTGTATCATGTGCTTAGAATTCAATCTACAGAATAATGAGTGCTCTAGTAAGAATACCCTCTTAATTATTACATTCATGATGATTAATAGTGCAAATGTACTTACCCAAAAGATGCGTCCAAATGTTCCCGGTTTCTGTGTGAATTCGGAATATAGATTTAAAGCAGGCAGAAAACGATGGAAGTGGCGGCCTGTGGAGTAAGAGAAAATTGTAAATAATGATGGTTACTAAAAAAGTCTCACTCCTCATGCACTCTCCCCTTGACAAAACTATAATTTCTGGATAATTGCTTAGCTAATCTTTCTATATGAACAGACTGAATTGTCACTGTTAATCAAGTAACATTTTTATGATTAATAGCCAAAAGCACGATTTGAATTCTTAGTATCACTATTTTCTGCAAAAGCAAGAATTTAAGGAAAAATGTCAAAATATCTAGGAAACAGGTCAGGCAAATTGAGGAACACTGTAGCTTTAAAATCATAAATTACCATCACTGTCTTTTCTGGAACTACTGTAATTAGTGTATCTTATGAAAAAAAAAAAAAAAAAGACATTCAAAACTTACTGAACAAAACGTCCTGAAAGAACCTTACAAAGTACAGTAGTAAACCCTTCATTTAATGGATTAATGGTGAGGAATAGTGAATGACTGATAATGAAAACTGAGGAAAAAAAAAATGAAACTGCTGAGTTGTGATCATAACAATAACTGAATTGCGTAACCAGTGATCCAGGTCCATCATTTCTGCTTCAATAGATTCTGCAGATTATGTCCTGTATTTCTGAAGTCTGTTATACCAACATCTATTAAATCAAAAGCTTACTGTATATAAAAATCTTTGTAGAACAACATGTAATGATTTCAGAAGCAATGTTTGCCATTGAATCAAAATATTTTATTGTTATTGAACTTCCACACCCAGTAAACTGATGCCATTTCCAAATGTGTAGAATATCTACAACATTAAAAAGGTGTCCAGTGACAAATGCAAAATTACTTAAAATCTACAGTACAGTACATAAAGAAAATGCTGGCCTACCTATGCCAATGGTGTAGATAATCATTGTCTTGGAGCCATTTGGGTAATTTTGAAAAAGGTTGAGTTTTCCAGCTAGCTACCTCCTCCCACACTTTGTGTACTAACTCTTCAGCTGTCTCAAAGGCACTCTGAGCCATGGAGCTGAGCACCAGGTCGTCATCATGGCTCTCTCTATTGACAACTCTGTGCCGCAACTCCTCTTCCTGAAAGAAAATTATGATACAACCTATCCTTGTATTACCATATTACCTACCCATTATGCAGCACTAGCTAGCACTCTCAAGTTATAAGATCATATAGTATAAATGTATGACTGGATGAAGGGTAAACTAAAAAAAAACATAACCCATTCTTTGTGCATGTGTCCCCATGTGACTCTCCAGGAGGATAGTTGTCTTATTCCAAGTTAAGCAACATCAGTGAGGCTATAGCATAACATATTTAAGTGATTAGTTACAGCTTTCAAACTGATCACCGTGAGACAATGCTCTGTGTTATTTGCCTGGGGCAAACAAGAAAATATAATAAAATAAAAGAATAATTTAACAATTAAACCAGGATCCCAGGCATGGGTAATCCCAGCTGACTGCTGTAAGGGCCAATGCCATTAATTCAGGTTTTCCCAAGGCAACAACCAGTTGCTGCCTTTAATCAATTGGAGTTTATATCAGGCCAGCTTTCACCATTCTCAACCTTTAATTTTATTTTTAGACAATATGAAAACATATCATTAATAACTTTCCAAAGTTTAATTACAAGGATACAAGTCAACACAGACATGAGTGTACAGTATTTACAGTATAAACTGTTAAAAATAGACCACATCAAGGGCAATGTTGTCTACTCTTTACTTTTCTGTTAGCAGAACTAAAAAAATCAACTGTCAGGATGAGCGTGCATGATTACATTACCATCTCGTTCACTGCACACTCCTCTGTTAGTTTTATCACTTTTTAAACACACTAGCTGTCTCCCACCTAAAAAAGGAAATGTTCATCATCATTCACCAATCAATAGCATGTTTTGCCAGAAGTGTGCAAACACCACAGCACCAATGAACGCACAATCTGCAATATCCCCACCCCCTCTTTGTGGTGCAAGCATTGTACTTAACACCTCCAGGACATACTGTTGATTGGTTACAAGATTTTTCCTACTCCCACTGCCTGGCCCTGGGTCAGGCATGCCTGGTTAACCAGACTGTTGCTGCTAATGGACTGCTTACCCACATGTTCAGCATAGCCTGGTTGATCCAATACTCAGAGGAGGTACTTGTTCAAGACTTCTACACCTGTTCCAGTAGTTTCTGATATCTTCTGATAAGAGGTTAAAGAGTCTGGGACTACAGATGTTGATACAATGCTTTCTTAGTGCTCACAAAGCCCCTGCTCTTCATTGGGTTTACTGGACATTTTCTTGTCATGGCAATGCACATTTGGGACTAGGCCCTCAAATACTTTCCACATATACATTATATATCATGTATTCCTCTCTTCCAACTTGAAGTCTGGCTAATCAGTTTTCTCAAACCCCTTCACACTTCAACAGTACATTAAGCCATAAAATCAACTTTCCTCCAATTACTCCAATGTAACAAGCTTACACAGGCCTGCTAGATGCTCAAACCCCTATCACTCAAAGCCTCCTTTCCTCCACCTTTAACCCTTCCTGGAATAACCTATACCTACCTTCTTTTCATCCCAGATTTATACAGTGTGTTCATCCTGTTCTCTTCCATCCTCTCTAAATGTCCAAACTGCCTCAACAACACATCCTCAACCCTCTGAATTATAACTTTGGTAACCCCACATTGTCTTCTAATTTTTAAATTCAGAATACTCCATGATATTCACATCACACATTGCTCAAAAAAAGATGATAGCACCACCTCTAGCCTCCTCCTCACTGCAACGTTTAACCATCTGACATTCCATCATGTAGAACCAAGTCAATGACGCCAGGGTCCATCTATGACATAAGCTCAGCTCACTCATAAGTTGTGAACTGTAAATTTTGGCCTAGATATGAGTGTGGGTCTGTGCAGTGTGTGTGAACAGTATAAAAAAAAAAAATCCTGCCTCATGCAGTGCATGGGAAAAGCAAAACTCTCACCTTATGTTTAGTTTAAAATAGCAACTTTAAGGTGTTCTCTAGGATGGTTTTATTAGCTGCTTCTTAACCCCTTGACTGTCGCAACTCCAAATCCTGAGGCATCTCAGGGTGTCGAAAAAAAAAAATTCTTATGAAATGATAGAGAATCTTTTCCCGATGGTAATGACACCAAAAGAACGAAATCTGACGGAAAACTTATGGAATTACGCTCTTGCGAAGTTAGCGATCTCGGTGATATTTATGAATTGGGGATTTCGCCCACTATGAGCCCTACTTTCGGCTAATTCGATTGTTCCAGTCGACCAAAGTCATAGCTATTTCTTTAGAACTCCATTTGTTCTATCGACCGAGTACAAGAAACTGCCCATTTACCGATTTCAACTACCCAATAACGTGGTCAGAAATTTGCTATTTGGCCAATTTCAAGCAAATTAACACTAAAGCCAATTTCAAAATAGGATCCAGAATGAACAATGCAGACATTCCTTGTTCTAAAATAACATTTTCTCTGTTCATCAGTCACATCTCCAGGCCCCTCTGATATTACTCTTGCTTTCTATTTTGAATTTTTATTCAAACAAAACATAGATTTACTTTTATGCAGACTACTGCAATATTGTAATAATTGTATAAATAATGTCAACCCATTATGACTGCATATTAGAATGGCTAGTTGGACATTTACTGAACAATGACATCATTTGCTTACTTTTGAACAAAGGCAAAAATCAAACATTTCCCCTACTTTGAGCTCCATTTCAAGGTTCTTTTCATAGTAAAACCAATCAAAATCTATTTCTATAATATGTTTTCCATTCTATCAAAGGAGACCAAGAAAATGAGAATACAATCATAAATACAGGTACCATCCAACTAACGACCGAATTTGGTTCCGAGAAACCGGTCGTAAGTAGAACCTTACTACTGAATATCAACATCACATTTTTGTAATGACTATTTTATTGTTTTATTTTGGTTTTTCATTTTTTATTTTACTTTTTATGCTGTTAGTACTGTATTTTATACTGTAAGGTTTAGGATAAACACTGTGTACAACACAAATAGCTGTTTATTTCCCAGAAATTTGGCACAGAAAACAAGGTCCTAAGTCGAATGGTCGTATGTCGAGCAGGTTGTAAGTCGGATGGTAGGTGTACTATATGAAAATACAACACAAAGTCGGCATTTTAATCCAAAAACATGGTTGGAGTTTTTTTTTTTTCTCATTATGCACTGCGTGCTGCAGGATTTTTTTTATATGGTGCACACTGACCACACAGACCCATTCTCTCACATGTGGGCCTACCAGCTTTCTCCTGCTTGATTTGAAAGCCGCTAGAATTTTTGAGTATATATACGTCAAACACTGGCTCGTAAAACGTATGTATACGACCAAAACAGTCAAAGGGTTAATATTTTATTGAATGGACTACATACTACTGAAATAAATATGATTTTAGTTGGTTGCAGGGCTGAAATAAGCTTGAAATCAGCCTCAAAGTAGCAAAAATATTCAGTTTTTGTCAATATTCCTGAAGATGGGTAACACCTCCCAACATCCTCTCCATTTTTATGGATTTTTACTAGAACTGATTTAATTATTGGGATACTGAAAACCATGACAAATCATTCCTGGTTATACAATATTTTTTTTTGTTTTTGTGAATTCAAAATGAAAGTCAAGTGTAATATAGGAGAGCCTGAAGCGATTATGACAGAGGAATTGTGGGTTTAGTGCCTGGAATGAATATGTTTATTTTTTACTTTTTAAATTGGATTTTTTTAAGCAAAATTGCTGATGCATAAGTAAGCCCAAATCTCTAACTTTGAACCTGCGCAATGCCATGAGTTTTTCCACTAAATTTCATATTTTTAGTGCCATTACCTCTGGAAAAGATTCTCTATCAGTGTCTAGATTGTCTCTACATAGGTTATTTTTACATAATTTTGAATGACAATGGAGTGCCACCAGTCGGTGTGGGGCAGAGCACATAGGTATGCTAGCAATAACTTCTTCAAAGTCAAATGAAATCAGATATATAACTTGTTTGGGTTGTCATCTTTTGTCTGTTTAACAGTTCACTGAACAAGAGTCTTACTATGTTCTCAATATTTTGTTAACTTCATTGTTCTCACCAGTGAAAGTTCTACCTTCCTTCTACAAGAGCCCAAATAATGAAGGTGGATTTTTGCCTTGGATTTACAGTGTAGAAATATTAATAAAGAATATGTATTAAGTCTTTAGAACATCAAACTGTCTAATGTTAGAAACACTGCAAACAGTAGCCAAGAATTTTTACTTAAAGCATAAGCAAAATATATTCCATGCAAGATCATTATTATTCGTCAATGTAACTACAAGGGTATTATTCCCCATCTAGGTTATGAAATTTGTTGATGTAAGACAACTTTGTCAATCTTTATAGGCTGCTTTTGTCCAATTTAACTCAAGGCTTAATCAGTGTTTGCTACTTCTTCCATTTTAGATATCAAACTGAAATACTGTAACTAAGTAAGATCATGTTTAGTGCCAAGTATATATGATTTTCAAAACGGTACAGTTTTCAACTTCACAGGTGAGAACTATTACTTACTATACTAGTGAGAATTAATATTCCATTTCACAGATGGTAATTAATGTTCATTTCACGGGTGAGAATTAGCCTTTCAACCATGTCCACTGTACTAGTATGAACAATTTATCATGCCTTCAAATACACAACCTGTTAATATTTTTGACCTTGGTTTCCCTATTTCAGTCAACTAAAACCTCTTCATACCTTAGAAAAAAAAATCCAAGACCATGCAGGTCCTAGCAGTGCATCATGGGGGTAACATTGCCTATCTATCTAGCATAAGTAAATAATGAAACCAGGACCTGTTGCTCCACCACCAGCTTTTTTACCAGGAAAATTCAACCAAAAAGCACACTATGTAGATTTAACCTAGGATAACCAAGTAGTCACTGACTTACTTCCAAATTCCACAAGTATTACACCTTGAAACAATTGTAATACCATAAGATTTCCTTGTAAATACTGGAAGGCACACAGGTGCTATGGACACAAAAGCTACATTATGTTTATATAACCCAGGATATTCCCTCAAATCTATGGTAAACAAATACACGTAACAACCAAATAGTCCAACAATGCAACTTATTTCTGTGTTTTAAAGAATATTACACCTTGAAGCAACTGTAATATCAGAGGCATTCCTTGTACATAGTGTTAGAAGGCTAAAGCAGTAAAAAAGTGGAAAACAAAAAAATATTTGCTCCAATTTATACTGTATAATCCAAGTGGAGAATAGATAGGCTCTGCATTTCCCCATGTTTGAATTACTAAAGCACCTTGAGTCACATTAATATCACATGAAACTAGTGTACAGTGTTAAACGTGAAAAAGTGAAAAGAAATCATAGAATGAATTGTAAAACTTAAATATCACTGGTGCACTTACATGCTGTTGCTGACAAGTGATCCTTTTATTGCAAACTTCAAAACCACAAAGTCATAGCTTTTCTAGCTTATTTTTATCTTATTTTATTCATAAACATGTACTCTTAATCTGTAAAATAAAAATTATTTTTTCAAAATTTTGCCCCTTGCACAGGAATTTTAATTTCTGGGTATGCCAGTTAAGGGGTTAATACTAATTTTACAAATGGGAATTTAATACCCATTTCATGAGCGAGAGTTACCCTTTCACCATTTCCCATGTAGATCTACATCACTGATGCCAGTATCACTCATGAAGATCTATGTTTTAAGCACAGGTATCTCAAATATAGGAGAGGCCTGGAGAAGTGATTAATGAACAATGAAAGGAAAAGGTTGTTTTAGTGGCTGGAATGTTTAGTGTTAAACTGGATTTCAAATTTAAGTAAAACTGATCAATTACCAATCTGTGCACATTATAGGGTAGTTCTGATAGTTAAATGAGTGATTTCTTGCAGTCAATAAAGAGAAGGCATGCTAGTAAAACAGTTTTGAATTGGGTAGAACTGGGCAATGGAACTGTCTTAAAACAGCATTCAAAGTGGGTTAAAAATCACTGATTTGTAAACTGCACCCAGAATGACAACTTTGTTCCTGCATATTTTCATAATTTTCCCATTTTTGGCATCTTTACATTCAGAAAAATATTCTCTACCATTTCACAAAAAAAAATTAAATTGTGACACCATTAGCACTTTTCATTTCGGGGTTTGCAACAGTGAATGGGTTAGTACTCATTCCATGAGTGGAAATTAATATTCATTTCATGAGTTGAAATTGATACTTACTTAAAAAAAATTAAAATTTCCTTGTAAAGCTTACACTGTTTGGTTTACATGTTGTAAAATGTTAATTACAAAGGCCACTAGCATGCCTAGGCATTTTGGGCAGAATAATACTAATTCTTACTCTAGTGATATAAGTCATGGAGCAGTACATTTGAACATACATTATTAGATAAATACATAATTAGATACATACCTAGCTAGGTACATACATAATTAGATTTACATAATTAGATACATACCCAGCCAGGCACATAATTAGATTTACAATATTGAGGTAGTAAGAGTCATATAATAATATTAATATTACAAATGGTAAATTTAGCAATGGGGTTGGATTTGTCTGTTTCTATTAAAGCTTATAGTATATTGGAAGTGTGTCTTAGGTGGTCTTAGGACTAACTCAAGATTTAAGAGGCAATAACTATATTAGGAATTTTATGTTTACAGTTATTTGGGCGGATGTAAGTATAAATTAGGGGGAATTACAGACAACGAGAATAGGACTATGTTGTTTTGGTTGTGTTCATGATACAAAAAAGAAAATAAGGTGATTTTAATTTCATTGGTTAGCTAATGATGGGGTGTGTTAGGGAAGAGATGTTTTTTGACAGTAGTTTTGAAAATGGCGATCGAGTCTGCAGTTCTAGAGTTTTCAGGTAGGGAGTTCCAGATTTTAGGCCCTTTTATGTACATCGAATTTTTGTAGAGGTCTAGCCGGATACGAGGAATGTCATACAGATTTTTGTGTCTCGCATTATGTCTATGGGTCCTGTTGCAACTATCAAGAAAGTGTTTTAGTTCAGGGCTAATATCAGAATTTATGGTTCTGTAAATGTAGGTTGCACAGTAGGTGTGCATATTCTGTACAGTGAGTAAGTTTAGGTCTTTGAAGAGTGGGGGTTGTGTTGCCTAGAACTGGATTGCGAGGAAGAATTAAAACTCATTTCATGAGAGGGAATGGTCAAGTGTGTAGCACCTGCTTCATGTAAGCTAGTATACCTAATGCAGTGCTATTGCTTTTATGGTGATTACAATGACTTTGTAATCAATCTCTAGTGCATTTGTAGTCACTTGAGCAGCCGTGTCTACCATTTTGGCAGTCATGCACACCATTTGCATCGTGAGTCATAAAGATGTAAAGTAAAAAACCTATAAAAGTACTGTATTATGAGACAGACGTCTTTAGAATATACGAATCACTGCATGGCAAAAAAAAAAAAAAAAGCAAGTTCCAAATTCAATGGAGAAAAACTCAGGCATGGGGGAGAGCACAGCTACGAAGCTAGTTACCATACATTTTTATTGGGCTGTGAGCCTAAATTTACAGATGAAGTACACAATACATCTACACATTCCCACAGACAAAACATGAAGAAATCAATTTGATCTAGCCCAAGGAAGTAGAAAAACTCTTGGAACTCATCAAAGGCATTCACTAACCCAGATTTTGGACAATGTTGTACTTATTCTTTTCTGCAGTATGCCTCATACAAAAGTAATAAAAATCATTATTATTTAGAGCATCATTAACTGAACTTGTATATATATATATATATAGTATATGAAACAACAGCTAGTTTGACTCTTTGCTTACATTACTTATGCTAAATAGCTTAAATCTGAATGTG